AGCACAAATTAGATTTATTTGTCCCTGAGGGACAGAGGGCAGGGAATAAGAGACAAACACAGGAGACAGAGGATGAGGGAGAAAGGGAAGGAACAAGGGTAGGGGGCAGGAGTATTTGTCCTGAAGGGACAAGGGACGCCTCTGGATAGAGGGGAGATAGACACGGCCCATGGGAGAATGGCAGATTATAAAAGGACCAGAGGGAAATCCTGTGATAGGATGAGGTGTTTAATTTGAATTGGACATGGTAATTAGGCGAGCCAAAGGGGGCTTTTGATGCGGAATTTCAATACTTTGGTAGCTGGTCTTTGGTAGTCAACCTCAGGAAGAGGAGGAGGAAGTGGCCATATAAGGGAACAGATCTTGGTGGCTTCTAGCAAGGCTGAAGGAAGAGGGAGAAGGCAAGGCCTGCCAAGCCATATGCTCGACTTCCCACCTTTTTTGTTTATTGTTGGGTCACTGGGTGTTGGGTAAGTGGGTGTCATTCTCTGCCTGCTTTCTGCAGATTTGGGGGCATTGTTGTTAGGGGACCCAAGGAGGCTGAATTGTTGGTCAAGGCTGGGAAAAACAGGCTGTGTCAGCCAGTGTCCAGGTTCTGAGGGAACATCTGAGGCTAGGGAAGCCTTGTCTGTGAGCTGGACCAAGATGTAGATCCCAAGGGGACAGCCGAGGCTGGCGCCTGAGTTGCTGGAGAAGTCTGTAGTTGATTTGTAATTCCTTCAGACAGATCAGACAGATGTGCAGTAAAGCAGTTAAAAAAATATTTTATCTTGGATGACATCTGATACTGTTAGGTTTGGAACATTTAGGCCGGCTGTATCAGGTCAACTGGGGAAAAACTGGTTGTGTGGGGAGAATATGATTTGAGAAGCTTCCATTATATCAGAATCGGTTTTCCTGGGGTGTTTAGGTGGGTTCTGAAATTGAGGTATTTTAGGAACATGGATGATTGGGGAAGCTCTTGGCAAGCAGTGAGGGGTTGGTCTGTTGTTTCAGGTTTTGGGGGTTGCTGTGGAAAGGCTGAGGAAATTTAACTATGGTTACCAAAGGGGCACTTGAATGGTTAAAGGGACGAGCAGTCATGGGTGCCACAGCCAGTGTAGCCTGGATGCCTAGACTGGCGGGTGTGTGTATGTGTGGTGTGTGTGCTGGGATTGAGACACTGAGGCTTCTTTTCAGGTGGAAGAAGAACACCTTTAGTTTGCCCAGCAACCTTTTATATCTCTACTCCTTCTGTGGAGACCCACCAGCCAGAAAGAACACAAACATCCTTGTCAATTACAGACCACAAGGAAGTTCTGCTGTCAGTCACGGGAGTGAGGGCAGCTAGATCACAACAATGGGGAGATGGGGTAAGGCAACTCGGGTATCAGCAGCTAGACACAGACTGCAGTGGGGATGCACCCCTTTTGAACCCAGCACTTGGGAGACAGGGGCAGGCAGATTTCTGTGAGTTTGAGGCCAGCCTGGTCTACAGAGCGACTTCCAGGACAGCCAGGGCTGTTACACAAAGAAACCCTATCTCAAAACAAAACAAAACAAAAAGCAAAAAACCCACACACATATACATATAATTTAAATGCAATCTTTAAAATCTCATTGATTTTTTTAAAGATTTTATTTATTTATTTATTATGTATACAATATTCTGCCTGCATATGCCTGCAGGCCAGAAGAGGACATCAGATCTCATTATAGATTGTTGTGAGCCACCATGTGGTTGCTGGGAATTGAACTCAGGACCTCTGGAAGAGCAGCCAGTGCTCTTAACCTCTGGGCCATCTCTCCAACCCCTCATTGATTTTTTTTAAAGCAGTGATTAATGCCAGTGTATGTCTCATGGCCTTCATGGGCATGTGGTAGTGGGGCAGGGACTGTGAACCATTTGACTAGTTGTGATCTTGGTATCTGTGAAGGCTGGCTCCGGATGTCCTCTGACAGATACTCAGCTCCTCGTGTGCGGAAGGGTCCTAGGTGAAGCTACAGGACTGGTGCTGGGGATCCAGCTCAGTGGGTAAGGCATGTGCCACAGAAGCGTGAGGTCCTGAGTTCGACTCCCCAGACCCATGTGAAAGCCTTGTTCCTGTGGCAAGATGAGAGGTGGAGGAGAGGCCCTGGAAGCCTGAAGGGGGCAACAACAGCGAAAAGTCTCAAGGTGGACAGGTGAGGTGTGACACCTGAGGTTGTCCTCAGATACACACATACACACAAATAAATTTAACAGCAGAGTCAGGAAGGGTGGCTGTAATTCCAGCATTTGGGAAGCGGAGGCAGCTTGGGTTGCAAAGCAACCCTTTCTCAAAGAAATAAATTAGAAATCAATGAAACCTATCAGATGGCTCAGCAGGTGGAGGTGCTTGCCACAGCCTGATGACCTAAGTTTCACCCCCCAGGACCCACAAAAGGGAGAACTATAAACTGTCCTCTGGCAGTCACACTCAAGACCCCATGTCTATACATAACAGATAAATAAATGTAAAGTGTTTAATGAATAAAATGAAATGTATATTTATATACACTGCACCTTATGCATACACCAATTGCATGTATTTATTACTTCTTTGTGTGTAGGGACCCATGTGGACTCCAGAGGACAGCTGACAGTTCTCCCTTCGCAGCAGGTGTGTTCCAGGGGCTGAACACAGGCCATGAACTTCGGTAGAAAGCAGTGTTACTGAACCGCCTTGCCAACCCTCATCTACGCTAGAGCAGTGGCTCTCAACCTTCCTAATGCTGCAGCCCTTTAATACAGTTCCTCATGTTGTGGTGACCAAGACCATAAAATTATTTTCATTTCTACTTCATAACCGTATTTTGCTACTGCTATGGTTTTCATGCAGACATCTGTATTTTCAGTGGCCGTGGGCAACCCCTGTGAAAGGATTGAGAGCTGCTCTAAATCATCACCTCATACAACATATATGCTGTGTGAGCAGTGGTTTAATAACAAAGTTGAGGGAAAAATGACTAGAAAAAAGTGTACATAGCCGGGCGGTGGTGGCGCACGCCTTTAATCCCAGCAACAGGAGGTAGAGGCAGGCGGATCTCTGTGAGTTCGAGCCCAGCCTGGTCTACAAGAGCTAGTTCCAGGACAGGCTCCAAAGCCACAGAGAAACCCTGTCTCAAAAGAAAAAAAAAAAAAAGAAAGAAAGCAAAGCCCTTTAGATGTCTTTCTTTATTAGGACCATCAGTTGTTTTAGACAGGCACAGTAACACAGCTTCACAGAGTTAAACAAACCCTTGTCATTCTCTTGACCCTGGGTTCAATCTTCAGCACCTCCCACCCCAAACCCAAAGCAGGCCATAGTTTTAAATAACAAAGCATTTTGTTGTGTTTGTTTTGTAGATAGGGTCTCCTATCCCAGGCTGGCATTGAACTCACTGTGTAGCCCAGGACGGCCTGGGATTTTTCTTTTTTTTTTTTTTCTTTCTTTCTTTTTTTTTTTTTTTTAACAGACTTAATTCACTTTTATTTTCCTTGTATAAAAACCCTTATGTGGTGGCCACAGCTGGAGCCTGGGTCCTCTGAACAGAAACTCTGGTGTGGGTTTTCACAAGATGGTCAGTGAATTCCTGATAAGGAGACTTGGTGAAAACAGTCTCTTTCCAGAGGTCGGGGGTCAGGTAGCTGTAGGTCTTAGAGATGGCATCAAAGGTGGCCTTGGCAAAGTTGCCCAGGGTGGCAGTGCAGCCCCTGGCTGATGTGTAGCAGTCATCAATGCCAGCCATCATCAGTAGCTTCTTGGGCACAGGAGCAGAGACTATGCCAGTGCCTCTGGGGGCAGGAATGAGACGCACTAGCACAGAACCACAGCGGCCTGTCACTTTGCAAGGAACAGTGTGGGGCTTGCCAATCTTGTTCCCCCAGTAGTCTCTCCGCACAGGGACAATGGAAAGCTTGGCCAAGATGATGGCCCCTCGGATGGCAGTGGCTACCTCCTTGGAGCACTTGACACCGAGACCTACATGACCATTGTAGTCCCCAATAGCGACGAAAACCTTGAACCTGGTCCGCTGGCCTGCCCTCGTCTGCTTCTGCACGGGCATGATCTTCAGAACCTCATCCTTTAGGGAAGCTCCCAGGAAAAAGTCAATAATCTCAGATTCCTTAATGGGCAGGGAGAACAGGTAGATCTCCTCTAGGGACTTGATATTCATGTCCTTAACCAGGCGGCCCAGCTTGGTGACGGGAATCCACTCCTTGTCTTCAGCTTTACCTCCGCGAGCCCCGCGGCCTCGGCCTCGGCCACGGCCTCGACCACGGCCGCGGCCCCTCAGACCGCTGCCGAATCCTCCGCGGAAGCCGCCACGGCCTCCTAATCCTGGGCCCCTGGGTCCTCCGGGCCCTCCCGCTGCACCGGCGTCATCCGCCATTTGGTGTTTTCCAGAAGAAGAAGAAACCGGCCTGGGATTTTTCATCTTTCTGTTTCTACTTCCATCACATCCTGACAAAGAAAAAAGGGGTGAGATGGAAATAAGAGGTTCCAGTTGGTAGCTGCTAGACCTGGGGTGGTAACTTTGGAGGGGAAGGTATTGGCTGTGGGAGATAGTCACGTTAGACTCACGAACCCGAAGAAAGCGGTAGTGTTTCTTATTTTTATATTTATTATAGTTTTTTATTTAAGTATTTGTGTGTACACATAAACCCGCCATGGGGCGCAAGTGGAGATCAGAGGCCAATCTGAAGGGTCGGATTTCTCCAGCCACCACACAGGGGAAGCCTGAGGATGGAACTCTGGTCGCCAGGCTTGGCAGCAGGCGACTTTACTTGCTGAGCCATCCTCCAAGCCCTGTTGTTTACTTTGTAAGGCTTTAGATTTTGGAGACACAGTCTCCCGGGGTAGCCAAGCCCGGCCTGTAACTTTTGATCACCGACCTCCCTCCGCATAGGTGCGTTAGGCCCACCCTCCCGGTTAGCACCTCCTCCCTTCCCGCCCGCCCCATCCCTCCTTCCGCGGCGCACGCGCACTGCCCGCCTTCCCAGCCCAGAGGCGGGCTCGCGTTCCCATCGATTCGTCTCCCTGGGCGATTGCTTCTGTCTGTTGTTTAGTTATGGTGCGGGCCAGGACACGGGAAGGCGGCTGGAGTTTGGCTGGTTGCTGAGCGCTGCCCCAGTCCAGTGCCGAGCGGGCTATGGGCGAGCCCGACCCTGTGGGCTCGGGGCAGCTCGCGGCCGGCCGGAGCTGGTGCTTGCGGCGACTGGGGATGGACCGTGAGTGGTTGCTGCTGGAGGCTGCGAGTGAGGTGAGGGCGAGCGGCCCGGCGGGGGGGGGGGGGGCTGGGGGGGGGCGGGGGGCGCTGCGGGAGCGGGGAGCTGAGGAGCGGCGCCCCGCCGCGGGGATCCGGCTTGCGAGGAGGCACCGAGGTGGCAGCTGGGATCGAGCCGCCTTAGCGACTGGCCGGACCGCGCCGCGAGGCCAGGCGAGGCCGTGGTTTGAGAGGCCCGGGCTGGTGGGTGGCTGCGCGGGAGCGAGCCCGTGCCAGAGCTGCCGTAACGGACACAGGACCCTCCAGTGAGCCGAAAGTAGGCACGGTCCCCGTTAGGGTCTTTCGGAGCCTTGCCGTTACTCAACTCAGGGAAACTGAGGCTGAGGCGTCCCCACTGACCCCGACAATGGCGAACCTGCCCGGATGGTTGCGGAGGGCGTGTACTCTCTAGAGTTGATTTTGAGTGTGCTCGCGAGTTTTTAAGGGTGACTTGCCTAAAATCCTCCAACATGAATCTAAAAATAAAGTCTTCTTTTACCTCCGAGGAGAATGAGCGCGTTGGGGTGGACCACGGTTGCACTCTCGAAGTGGGTCAGGGACAGTCAGCAATTCTCTCCAGAAACTGCTTACAGTTTTTGATAATGCAGGCTTGTAGGGCTGGTGCTGAGGATCGAACCTCAGAGAGCTTGGAAGGCAAGCTCTCTGCCAGCTGAACAGTGTCTTTAGCTCCATTGATGCAAAACTAAAACACAAAAAGGGGAGGCACAGTTATGAACGGAAGGGAGGTGCGAGATTTGGTACCTGAAAAACTAAGCGTGGGCCGCATCCTTGTGGTCAGCTCTGGAAGGAGAACTGGGTCAGGTCAGGTCCGAGCTTGTCATTCAGAGCCCTTTGGGCTTTGTGCAGTACTGAGTGTTGGTCGTCCTGTGTGCTGGCTGAGGTCTTATGTCAACTTGACACACACACTGGAGTTACGTGAAGAAGGGAGTCTTAATTGAGAAAATGCCTCCATAAGAAACGGCTGGTCTTTTAGTGATTGGAGGGGAGGCCCCAGCCCACTGTGGGTGGTGCCATCCCTGGGCTGGTGGTCCTGGGTTCTATAAGAAAGCAGGCTGAGCAAGCCGCGAGGAGCAAGCCAGTAATCAGCTCCCCTCCATGGTCTCTGCAGTTTGAGTTCTTGTCCTGACCTCCTTCCTTTCCTCCCCAAGTTGCTTTCTGTTTGTCATGTGTCATCGCAGCAATAGTAATCCCAGCTGAGACATCCATGTAAGCTAAACTCATTGTCTTGGCAGTTTTAGTTTTTTGTTGTTGTTTTTGAGAGGCTGTATGTTCTCAAATGTAGTTTCTGCCCTTGGAGTTTATGGTTTGAACCAGGAAAAGAGGATTTATACAGTGAAGGAGTCCGTGAACATCTGTGTTGGTCAAGGTGTGGCTTGTTTAACATTATTCTAGAGCAGGCCCGGCTTTAAATTAGCAGGCATTAGAGAGCCACTTATTTTTAATTTAAGGTCCTTTTTGTCTACAGAGCTCTCCTCGAGATGTTCAGTACCGTTCCGTAGATTTGTGTGGAATCACGTCGAAGGGGAGAGGGACCCTAACAAACCAAGAGATTGCTGAAGGCGGTGTCAGGAGTGACCCCTATGGGGATGGTCACTATGTGTAAGAGAAGCCCGCCTGGTGATGTCAAAGTCAGGTTGTCGGCAGCATTTGAAGCATGGCCTGCCGAGTGTAGGGTTTGCACAGAGGTCAGGTTGAGTCGGGTCTTCTGTAATGGTTCTCAGGTGAATAGCTCACGTGGGTTTGCGGGTTTGTGCAAGGTCTCAGGAGGTGTGCTGGCGGCCAAGAGCTGAGGTGGGTTAGTTCCCTCAGTTTCAGTTTTCTCAGATAAAATTATAAAACACGGCGGGCTCCTCATATTGTATCGAAGGAGTCCTTTGGCAGGTTATCTGTCTGAATGGGTGTCTTTAAACTTTGTGAACTAGTCTAGAGATGTGTGTAAGCACAGACGAGCAGAGGTTTATTGCAGGCGAGCTACTTCAGTCCTGCAAAGAAAAGCTGTGTCTTTTGCTTGCTTGTGTTCTTCTCTTGTATTTGGTTTTCATGAATCTGTGGGTTGGAAAACGGGAAGGAATGGTTAGAGTACTTACTGGTTATTTCAGAAACAGCTGTTGTCTGAGGTTTCTGTCCCACCTAGTCCTGCGGTTGTTCAGTTCCAAAGAAACACACAGAGGTCTACATTATTATAAACTGATTGGCCAACAGACAAGTATTATGGGTTAAAATAAGTTATGAGTTAATAAGAAGACCAGCCAGTGCTCTTAACCTCTGAGCCATCCCTCCAGACCCTATTTTATTTTCTTATGTCTTGGCCGAAGGTACAGCATCAACTGCCATATCAGGTTTGTGGAAACTAATGCTAGAGGAACATGGTGTATGTCTATCTGATGGCAGATCAAAGAGTTAAGTCTTAGAAGGCAGCATGCTAGGCTGAACTAATAGATGAAGATGAACGGCAGCAGTGTCAGGGCCTGCCATTGAATCCACAGTTGCCAGCTAGTCAGGTAGAGAAAGACAGCATGGTAGTCTTGCAGGAGGGGAGGATGGAGAATGGAGTCATTTCTCAGGCCTAGGATGCCTTGGCAGTGTGCTGGAGCGCTGTGAAGGCCGGTGCTGCCCATCAGCAGCCATGCCTAGAACTGGGGAAACCATACATGACTTGACTTTATAGAAGAACTTAAATTTCTTTTTCTTAAATAACATCTGTAACACTAAACCAGGGGTTCTTTCATAGATGGGTTGAGATGTCAAACTCAGGCTGTGGAAGTTCAGGACAATGTCTGGGACTAGAGGGCCAGGAACTCGGGTACTTCACTATGTGAAGAAGGAGATGGGAGATTCCCTGATGAACCTAGGGCAGAACCAGGGCCAGCTGGAAGAATTGCAGAGAAAAGGATGCCAAGTTAGACATTTAAAAGTCCTTATGTGGGCTGGAGAGATGGCTCAGTGGTTAAGAGCATTGCCTGCTCTTCCAAAGGTCCTGAGTTCAATTCCCGGAAACCACATGGTGGCTCACAACCATCTGTAAAGAGGTCTGGTGCCCTCTTCCGGCCTGCAGGCATACACACAGAATATTGTATACATAATAAATAAATAAAATAAATATTAAAAAAAGTCCTTATGTATTTTAACGGCAGTGCTGAAGATGAATTGATGGGGATGTGAGAGAAGAAACTGTAGGCAGCAGCTTGCTGTTCAGTCCCAAAGAAACACACAGAGGCTTTTACTAACTATACACTGTTTGGCCTGTTAGCTCACGATTATTATTAGCTAGCCCTGACAACTTAAATTAACTCATAATTCTTGTCTGTGTTTAGCCACGTGGCTCGGTACCTTTTCTCATTGAGGCATTCTCATCTTGCTTCCTCTGCGTCTGGCTGGTGACTGCTTCATTGCCTTCCCTCTTCCCAGAATTCTCCTACTCTGGTTGCCCTGCCTATACTTCCTGCTTGGCTACTGGCGGCCAATCAGTGTTTTATTAAACCATTATAAGAGACAAATCTTTACAGTGTACAAGAGCGTTGTCCCACATCAAGAAATCCTTGTCTTACTGGTTCAGGGTTGTGCTAGCCTGAGAGTTCATGGTAACTCTTCTTTATTTTTTATTATGGTATGATTGTTTTGACTACATGTATGTCTGTGCAGCACATACATGTCTGGTGCCTGGTTACGGGGGCAGGTGGTAATATACCGGAAGAGGGCATCAGATCTCCTGCAACTGGGGTTATGGATGGTTTTGAGCCTCCATGCCGCTGTTGGGAAAACAAGCCTGGGTCTTCCGGAAGAGCAGCCAGTGCTCCCAGCTATTCTCTTAGCACAGCTTCTTGCCTTTTCCTCTGTGGTGGCTCCCTTTGGCAGCTGAGGAGGGGGCACAGCAGCAGATGAACCGGTCAGGACCCACGTCTGCTGCTGGTCGGTAAGATTGCAAAGAACCTCCCTTCTAGCGGAGTGACCAACTGTGTCTTACATTACCCCTGTCTTTCAGGTGACGATAGGACGAGGATTTGGCGTTACCTACCAGCTGATATCCAAGGTCTGCCCCCTGATGATCTCTCGGAACCACTGTGTTTTGAAACAGAATCCCGAGGGACAGTGGACAATTATGGACAACGAGGTACAGGAGCTCACGTGAGCCTAATGATTCATATTGAGTTTTATGGATTTTGTTTGATTGGTTTTTCGAGACAGGGTTTCTCTGTGTAGCCATGAGTGTCCCGGAACTCACTCTGTAGACCAGGCTGAACCTCAAACTCACAGAGATCCACCTGCCTCTACCTCCCTAGTGCTGGGGTTAAAGGTGTGTGTCACCACTGCCTGGCTGAGTTTTACTCCCATGTGCTTTGTGTGCGTGCATGCGTGTGTGTGTTTGAACGTGAGTGCAGGAGCCAGCAGAGGCTAGCCAGGTCCCCGTGGCCCTGGAGTTACAGGCTGCTGGGAGCCACTCAGTGTGGGTGCTGGGAACTGAACCGGGTATGTGATGCTCTTGACCCCGAGCCTTCTCTCCAGCCCTCTGAGCTATTTTAGTTTTTCCTTTTCTTTCCTTATTTTGGATTTTCGAGACAGGGGTTTCTCTTTATGGCTCTGAATGTTCTAGAACTTGCTCTGTAGACCAAGCTGGCCTTGAATTCATGGAGATCCGCCTGCCTCTGCATCCCCAGTGCTGGGTTTAAACATGGCACATATCTGTAATCCCAGATTTCCTTTTCTTAACCCCTGATAGTTGTCCTCGTAAAATATTAAAAACTAGCCACGCCCACCTGTTCTCTTTCGAAGGCGCACAGCACTTTTGTGTGCTGCAGGAAGTTAGGCTGCGCAAGGTGATGGATGCCCTGAATGAGCACTACCTCAAAGGGAGTGTCTGGAGTACAGCTGTGGCTCCTCTTCCAGATGGTAGACCATAGTTCTGTGGAAACAGGCTCCTTGAAAGGGACCCAGGTTCAATTCCCAGTACTCACATGGCAGCTCATAACTATTTGTAACTCAAGTTCCAGGGAATCTGACGTCCTCACACAGGCTCATAAAAATAAATAAAGCAAGAAAAAAAACCTTGCTTAAAGCCTGTTGGCATTCTCAGAAACATTTTGACTTTGAATAATGTGTTTTCCTGCTTTAAATATTTCTTTAGATTTATTTTATTATTGTATTACTTACATGTATGTGCGTCTGTGTGTATTGTATGCGCGTCTGTGTGTATTGTATGCACATTTGTGCACAGGTGCTTGAGGCCAGAAGAGAGGTTTGGGTTCTCCAGAGCTGGAGTTGCAGGCAATGGTGAGGTGCCCCATGTGGGTGCTGGGAATTGCGTTAGGGTTCTCTGGAAAAGGCGCAAGCGCTCTGAACCACTGAGCTGTCCCTTCAACTAACTCCCTTTAAACAAACTGTAAATTGATCAGCCTAGCAGGAAGTGTACAGAGTCCAGCAACTAGGAAGCAATTGATCAGTCTAGCGGGAAGTAGAGCCCAGCAGTTAGGAAGCACCTCAAGTGCAAACATGCAAACTCCTGGAACATGGAAACAGACCATGGAATAGGGGACTTCCTTTTTAAGGTGGGGGTGTTGTTATGTAATGCAGGCTAGCCTTAAGCACATCTGCTCCTTGGTGATTTCTCGTTTGTGCAGTAGACTCTGGCATCTCAAGTCCTAGGAACATGCTTTTTGTGGTGGAGTCTCACTATGTGGAGTAATTCCCCTTCAGGCCTGCTAGGATCACAACAACCAGAGTGGCCCTGGCTTCTGTTTGCCACTCTAGCCCTCATCTGGCACACTTGGGATTTGGTCTCTGTGTACAGGTACTCTGTCCTTGTGTGCCTGGGCAAAGCCAGAGGGAATCAGATTCTCTGGAACTTGAGCTATGGGCAGTTGTGAACCTCCTTATAGGTGCTGGGAAATGAACCTGGGTCCTTAGCCAGAACAGCCAGTGCTCTTAACCCCTGAGCCATCTCTCCAGCTCTGGCATACTTTTTAAGAATTCTGCCAGGTGGTGGTGGCATACACCTTTAATCCCAGCACTGGGGAGGCAGAAGCAGAGGCAGAGGCAGGTGGATCTCTGAGTTTGAGGCCAGCCTGGTCTACAGAGCTCTAATTCCAGAATTGCTAGGCTGTTACACAAAGAAACTGTCTTGAAAAGCCAAAAGGGAAAAGGAGAAAAAAAAATTGTGATGTAGGTAAAGCACTTGCCACACAAGCAGGTAGACTTGAACTTGGCTCCCCAGGACCTGTGTAAAGCCATAGGAACTATCCAGTGTCTGTGATCCCTGTGTTCCTACAGCATGTTGGCAGGCAGAGACGGGGATCTCAGAACAGCAGCTATGAAACCCTTCTCACATTAGAGGGGTGGGGGGCTAAAAATATTTGATGCACGTGTTTAATCCCAGCACTTGGGAGGCAGAAGCAAGTGGATCTCTGTGGGTTTGAGGCCAGTCTGATCTACAAGAGCTAGTTCCAGGACAGGCTCGATAGCTACAGTAAAATCCTTTCTCTAAAAACAAAACAAGGGGGCTGGAGAGATGGCTCAGTGGTTAAGAGCATTGCCTGCTCTTCCAAAGGTTCTGAGTTCAATTCCCAGCAACCACATGGTGGCTCACAACCATCTGTAAAGAGGTCTGGTGCCCTCTTCTGGCCTGCAGACATACACACAGACAGAACATTGTATACATAATAAATAAATAAATTAATTAAAAAAAAAGACACAACAACAACAACAACAAATTAATGGTAGTATAATAAAGTTAAGGGTTTCTATTCTTCAAAATATATCGTTAAAGAAAAGACAAGCCCTGAGTGGCAGTGTTTGCTGTGCATGTCATGTGAAGTGTGCTTGTGTATGTACAGAGCTGCTAGTCAGCTTTTCAAAAGACAGGTGCATCCCAGAAAGAGTGGAACACGAGAAGTTGTTGGAACTCAAGTGATTAGGGAAATGCAAATCAAAACCACAAGGGAATACTCTGGCAAGGATAAGGAACAAGTACAGCTGTCTTTTCTTTTAGAGGGAAGGTGGCTTGACACAAGGACTTTGAAAATACATAACTCGTTCAATTGAACATCTGATCTGTGCAGCTTAGGGCACAATTGCTGTCTCTAGGTGGCATTTGTAATGTCCACCCACAATAGAATGTACAAAGGATGAGTTCCACAGTGAACACTACTGTATTGAACATGGGGACGTCTTACTGAGTGAGAAGGCGCCACGGCAAGTTGCTGGACATGCCGATATAGGCCTGTAGTCCCGGAACTAGGAGGGTAGAGCAGATCCCACGCCGACCTGGGCTATGTAGCCAGACTGTCCCAAAGAAACGAAGCAGGGACTAGGGAGATTGCCAGGCAGGCATGAGGACCCAACTTCAAATCCCCATGTGAAAAGCTATGGATGGCGGTGGGTGTCTGTAACCACAGGGCTGGGGAGGTGGGGAGAAGTGGAGTTCCTCAAGCTCACTGCCCGGGCAGCCTGATTGCTGAGTTCCAAGAAGTAAGAGACCTTGGTCTTGGAGGGAACCTGAGATCAGTTCCCAGCACCCACCTCAGCTCTTCACAGCCACCTGTAAGTACAGCCGTAGGGGTCCTCTGGCCTCTCTGGGCACTTGCCACTCAAATGCACACACATAATTTAAAACAATAAATCTTTTTTTAAAAAATGAGGAGGCAGGTGTGGTGGTGCGTACTTTTAATTCTATCATTGAAGAGGCAGAAACAGGCAGATTTCTGAATTGCAGCCCAACCTGGTCTACAAAGCAAGTTTCAGGCCAGCCAGAACTACACAGTGAGACCATAAACAAAATAACAATAAGGTCTGTTTGCTACACTGTAACACGCGTAGACAGCTGCTGCTGGTGTTACTCGGCCAGGTCCCACCTACAGTTTGACTCCCCCAGTACAAAGTATTGGTTTTGTATACTGGGAAGTGCTGTGCTTGTTCAGTGTGTGGAGGGCCCACGTGCAGAACATGGGTGACTCCTGCCTTGTGGTTTGCATTCTTTTTTTTTTTTTTTTTTTTTTTTTTTTGTTTTTTTGGTTTTTTGAGACAGGGTTCCTCTGTGGCTTTGGAGCCTGTCCTGGAGCTAGCTCTTGTAGACCAGGCTGGTCTCGAACTCACAGAGATCCGCCTACCTCTGCCTCCCGAGTGCGCCACCATCACCCAGCTTGTGGTTTGCATTCTTTCCGCTCTTGAATCATTGCCTGGAGTTTAGGTCAATAGGAGTGATTGAGTTTCAGTGTTCTTTAGTGCCTTGCGTGTTTTGAGTAAGGTGATTCTTGCCCCTTACACAAGCGGTTCTCTGCGGAGGCATGAATGTGAAATATAGGCAGGAAGCCAAAGCACTGCACGCACAGGGCTCTTTCCAGGGATGGTGGTTTATGAACCTTTCGCTTCCATTTGTTCTCCAGGGTTTTCCCTCTGAAAAGGCAGAAGGTTTCGTAGCAGCAAGAGAGAAATTCCATTAAGAGGAGGAAAAGCATGAGCTTATTTTGTTTTGTTTTCATTTCCCCTAGAGTCTAAATGGTGTTTGGCTGAACAGGGAGCGGCTGGTGCCATTACAGGTTTATTGCATCCAAAAGGGAGACCACATCCAGCTTGGAGTGCCGCTGGACAGTAAGGGGAGCGCAGAGTATGAATACGAAGTCATTGAAGAAGACTGGGGGACGCTGTCTCCCTGCCTCACCCTGAAGAATGCCCAGACAGGGGGCAAAAATGAAGACTTGAGAACTAAAAGGAAATTCAGTTTGGATGGATTAGAGAGTCCTGCGGCTGAAGGCCCCTCGGCTCTCAAATGCGAAGTACCTGCAGTCTCTTGTAAAACTGTTGAGCCAGTGACCGCAGGCGGAAAAGGTGAAGCGGCAAGTCAGCCCTTGGGATATTTGTGTCCTAAGTTGCCTTCTCTTGGGGCAAGTGACAAGACCACTGGGACTCACGCATGCCCTACTCTCTCAAAGGTCATCGAACTTTATCCGAAGAAGCAGAAGCCCTCCAGCCCATCAGCATCTCAGAGCAGCTTAGAGCTGTTTAAGGTGACCATGTCCAGGATTCTGAGGCTGAAAACACAGGTGCACGAGAAACAGATAGCCGTCCTGAATGTGAAGAGGCAGACCCGAAAGGGGAGCTCCAAGAAGCTTGTAATGATGGAGAAGGAACTGCAAGACTTACAATCTCAGCTGTATGCAGAGCAGGCTCAGCAGCAAGCAAGAGTGGAGCAGCTGGAGAAGACTTTCCAGAAAGAGGAGCATCACCTCCAGGTACCACAGAGCTAGCAGGCTGTAGCATGAATAATAGAAACCCAGAGACAGAAATTGGGGCTCAACTCAAAAACCAGAAAAGCAAAGCAGCCAAGCCACTAGGAAGTCTTAACCTCTACCAAGGCTGGGCGACCACAGGCTAAGCAACCAGAGCCTCTCCTCCCATTTTGTATTCCCTCTAGTGCTGGGATTAAAGGCGTGTGACTCCCTAGGACTGGGATTAAAGGTGTGAGCCACCACCACCTGGATCTCTTTCTACATTGATCGTGTGTAGCTCAGGGTGGCTTTGAACTCACAGAAATCCATCTGACTCTGTCTCCCAAACCCTGGGATTTAAGGTGTGTGTCACTATTGTCTGACCTTAGTGGCTTTAGCTTTGCCTCTGGTCTTCAGGCCAGATTTATTTATTAAAATACAAATAATATACCACTATAGCAGGCAGAGGTACCTTCAGCTGGGCAGGCATTTTGTGAACTTCTGGCTAGAGTTGTCTTTGAAGCAGACATCAGATGCTAAGCCTTGGAGACAGAATGGGAGCAGAAAACCAAGATGAAGTTTTGGAAAGGGGGCTGGAGAGATGGCTCAGTGGTTAAGAGCACCGGCTGCTCCTCCACCTGAGTTCAATTCCCAGCAACCACATGGTGGCTCACAACCATCTGTACTGAGATCTGGCGCCCTCCTCTGGCGTGTGGGCATATATGGAGGCAGAATGTTGTATACATAATAAATAAATAAATCTTTTAAAAAAAAGTTTTGGAAAGATTAAGATTTCAGTACACTGATGAGATCAGGAGCCAGTTAGGGTACCAAGATGAGCAAGGTAACACAAAAGCCAGCTGGGATATAACTGATTTCTGATCGAAAACTGAGGGGTTTCAGGTCCAAAATAAATTTAGGGAGAAGCTGGGTAGAGATGAGGGCACCACAGAACTGTGATTTCCCTAGGACTCCTTTCTTTGCTCTCTGTGTAGACAAAACCAAGTCGGAGCCCAGAGCAAGTGCAGATCAGCTCCTGTACTGTCCTGTATGTGACAGCTTGTTGGCTGTGAGGTCAGCTCTAGCCACCGGGGGTGGGCGGTTTTGTTTCTCCATGGACAGGCACACAACTGGCTGGATGATAAGCCACCATCCTTTACTAGAAGATAAAAGTGTCTGAGTGGTACAGGGGTGGGCCCACGTATGGTCTCATCTCCAAACGGTTTACTTAGATGACAGGCTTGTGCATAAAGCTGGCTGGAGCTGATCCTGTTCCTGCTTAAAATGTCAGTTCCCATATGGCAGGGCCCTTGTTGTTCCCATCCCCGCTGTCCAGGTGATGGTGAATGTCAAGAATTCCCTGTGGTTGGCTTGGAACCAAGAAGGGTCGTCACAGCTGCAGTGAAAGGTGTTTTTATCTTGCTTGAGCCTCACAGGGCAAGGAACAGCCTGTAGTAGTGTTGGCTCGTTTCTGAAGAATTTATAGCTTTCTTTCTGATCTCTGCTGTCTCCTTGAGCTGGTAGGATTAGCAAAAGCTGCGGATTACGCGGGTGCCTTCAGGACATACGTGGTGGGTGTGCATACCTTCTTCCCCTGTCCAACCCAGACAGCTGTCAGTTCCAGAGGGTGGGAGTCTGAAGCTCAGCGTGTCGCACCTTCGCTGAGTGGAGTTCTCTAGGGGATAGCGCCTTCAGAAGCCATCGCGCCTGGGACTAGCATTCATGGTCGTGCTGGGCGCTAAAGATGCAGCTAAAAGTCTTTTCTCTGGGGCAGAAGGTTAAAGACAGAAGAGGCTAGGTTAGCAATTTCTTGAGGTTATGTTGGCATGACTTCGAGAAGTACATCCAGTTCTTTGGGTTAGCTGCGTCTCCCTCTGCCCTTGGTGTAGTCTGGCCTGCCCCCGCTCCAGAAGCTGTTGCCCCTGCTCCGTGCTCGGTGTTTGGAGCACCTCATTGCCTGACACTGTCTTTGGGATTCTGCGTGGCATTAAAATGGCAAATGTTGTTTGTAATCACTGAGTTCTTGTTGTGACGAGATATGCTGCCCATAAACATTTTGGAAGAATAATTTTCAGGGTGATGCATTACATCATGAATGATTCAAAATGCCCACCCTATAGGTAATTCCTAAGGCAGCAAGCTCTCAGAGGCTGTGCAGGAGAAGCCGCCACAGATGAGGGGGCAGTTTGAATGGCTGGCATAGGAAAGGCGACAGAGGCTCAGGCAAGGGCAGAAAGTGGCTTGTAGAGGGTGGTCACTGTGGAGGGACAAACCGTGGAAATGCTGTGGTTGCTGGCCTCGGCGGGGGTTGTATTTGTGGCTCATTTCTCAGTTTCAGCCATTTGGGTATCATGGCATTAGATAATAGAAGAAGCTCAGTCTGTCACCCTGTTGTTTGCAGAGCCACTCAGCTGGTGGCTTGCCGCTGACAGTCGGAAGTATGCAATGGTTGAGCAAGTAAGACTGTTGAAATCCTTTGCTGACAACAACTTGCCGTAAAATGGGGGTTTTCCGCCTGCTCCCTGCCTCGTGCTGTTCCTCGTCACACCTGCTTGTTGCGGGATTTTGTTTCCTGCTTGACTGCAGTGAGACCTTCCATTTTGTTTGCCCTTTCAGGGTTTGGAGAAGGAGCCAGGAGAAGAGCACCTGAAGCAGCAGCTGGTCCAGGCTCTGCAGGAGGTAACCTACTCTCCCGCTTCCAGAGGCTGTGGTGGTTGGTGAGTGGGGAACAGCCAGGCATCACGTGGCCACTAGCTGCCTCTGCCTCTGCCTCTTAGCTCACTGCTCTGTGGTCTCCAGTCTGCAAACAGAGCAGGTGGCAGATGCTCACACCATCAGGCTGGAGATTTGCAGCCTCAGACACACACCAGATCTCAGCATGGAAACGTAGGTCTTCATCTAGCAGAAGCTGCCCTGGTGATGATGGTACCAACAGCCTGTAGAAATTTGGAAGCTCTCTGGAATAGTGAGGGCAACAAAGGGGGGAGATATTAGCTAAGGCTTGGGCCTTAGGGCCTCTGCGGGCCTTTGTACCTCACCGTCCCTGCACTGCGGCATCCAGAAACTATTCAAGAATGTTGCAGTCATTTTAGGCCAGTTTGAGGATATACAGTCAGACGTAAAAACATCCTCTTAACAAAATAGGCACACTTACAGCATCAGGTCGCCTAAGACTGCTTCTAACTTATGTCATTGAACCCTGTGACTGCCTCTTATGTGCTCTTGTATGTCTTTAAAGCTTGCTTCAGCTGGACATAGTGGTACACACTAATCCCAGCACTTGGGATGCAGAGGCAGGTAAACCTCTGTGAGTTCAAGGCCAGCCTAGTCTACATAGCAAGACTCTATTTCAAAAACAAACAACTAAAACCCTTGCTTTGTCTTTGAGCTTTGATTATGGTCAGTAGTTTGGTACAAGTTTAGTTAAAAGGTTAATAAGTTGGTTCGCCCTCCTCGGGCACAGCAGCAGCTTTGCATACGAACTTGCTCAGAGGTCATCTTCTTATCTGCTCTTGCGGACCTGTGCCTCAGCCTTGTGCTGCTAGCAGTCAGTGAGAAGAGGCTGCCTTGGTTTCCTTGTGGGGAGGGGCACAAATAGCTTTGGAAATAATTAGGCAAAAATTATATCTTTGGAATTTTATTTTTTGAGCTTATCTGTTGTATAGGGTGAAAGGGCAGGCATTGTTCCCATTTGAGTATTTGTGTTTTTTGCTTAGTGTGTGAGGGTTTAAGCACTCACCTGTGGTGCTGGAAACGTGACCTGAGTTTGGTCGCCAGCACGCACATTAGAAATCTCTCAATCCCTTGTAACTCTAGCTCCAGAGACTGGAGGTCTCTTTTGGCCTCCCACGGTACCCTACATATGTGACTTAAACTCATACAAACAGACTAAATAAAATTAAAAACAGATCTTTAGAAATAAATCAGCACATTTAAAAAAATGTGTGTGTGTACACTCGTGCCAGTGTGTGTGAAGGACGGCTTTCGGGAGTTGGTTCCTCCTCCTTGTGAGTTCCAGGAATCACACTGGTCTTCAGGTCTTCAGGCTTACACTGAGCCATCTCCCCGGCCCCCTGGAGAGGTTTTAAACTAGCGCTTAGAGGTCTGAAACCAGCTAGAATCAGGTTTTGCTCCGCAGAAGGTCTGTGTCAGTCACAGAGCTCCCTGTGGCCCCAGCACCTCCTGCTCTAACACGGGAAAACACGTGTGTCATGAGGTGCCTGGCCAGTCTGACAGGTGCTTGAGGGCCATGCTCTGCTCAGCTGGCGTGTTCTATCCTGTGAAGGTGCTCTCTTTTCCAGACTCACAGGCTTTAAACCCTTTTCCGGATGTTTTTCAGGTTTGTTATTTTCTTGCCAACTCTGGCGGTAGGGTCACTTGTTTTCCCATTTTATAGATAAGACAGTTCTGGAACATAGACGTATTAGTGGCTAAGATGAAGACCATGGTTTTTAGGGAACCACACACTGACACGTTTGTTTCTTTCTTCAACTTCTTAAAAAAGACTTGTTTTGATTTTTTTATATGCATTTGTATGTGGAGGTATGGCATGTGAGTTCGGTGCCCTTGGAGACCATGGGCATCCATTCCCCTGAAGCTAGAGCTACGGGAGATTGTGAGCTGCCCGACATGGGTGCTGGGGACCAAACTTGGGCCCACATATTTAGCAGCATGCTGCTTTTAAGTAAATGCCAGCTGCCTCTTTAGCCCTGAGATTATTTCTTGAAATTATCTGCAGAGAGAAACCTCTATTCTACCTCCTTTTAAAGAGTATTCAAGGTGAGAGTCTTAAGTCTATGCTGTACTTATGCATGAAGGGACTCAGCTTTCTCTTCTCCCCTCTCCTTCCTTCCTCGTATCTTCCTGTGTCCTCTCCTTTGCTTGCTCAGTGTCAAGCCTCAGCCTTCACGCACACGAGTATGTGCTCTATGACTGGGTCACATCCCAACCCGTAAATTACATTCACAGCTGCAGAACCTGCTGATATTTGGTGTAAGGAGTTAGTCACAGGTGTCAGCTGTTGGCACTGGGCGTGCCAGACCTTAGCCAGGTTAGTTCCAGAGGACTAGCACACTTGCTGTCCTCCCCGTCTCATCCTGATTCATCTGTCCTGAAGGAAAGCAAGCTGTTTTTGAAGTTGTCATCACTGGTCCCCAAAGCAAAGTCACTGAGAGAGGGAGGATGCACAGGTGTGTGGCTAACGAGAGGGTGTTACCCCGCTCGTCCTGACGGCTTGCCTGCTGTTTCTGCAGCATCGGGCTCTAATGGAAGAGCTGAACCGCAGCAAGAAGGCCTTTGAGAAGATCATTCAAGCCAAGAACAAAGAATTGGAGCAGACCAAGGTACTGACAGATGAGGGCAGCTTAGCATTGGCACATGCAGCTGGGCATCCCGAGGGCACAGTTGCCGTGGAGAATAAATTCCTTACCTGGGGAGAGGACCTGTGAAGTTCTCAGTCCATACTGCAGCACCTGCTTCCTTCCATGTTCAGAAGCCACGTGCCGGGAGGAGGCCTGCACCCTGTATCCTGCCTTCTGTAGGACTCCCTTTCAGGATGTGTCTTCCCCCATCAAATCCATCGAACTCTTTTTTTTTTTTTTTTTTTTAAGACTGTTGCCTTCATGACGCTCTGGTTGTCCCAAAACTTGCTCTGTAGACCAGGCTGGCTTTGAACTCAGATCCTCCTGCCTCTGCCTCCTAAACGCGAGGATGCACCACCACTGCCCAGCAGAACTTTTAAATTATAAATTACAAGCAGATGCCTACCAGGGCCAGACCATAATAAGAGTGAGTGAAGAGGCCTGAGGGTGAGAACTGGAGGAGCTGTGAGGCCATGCTGCTTCCTGACCCCTCCCAGAAGACAGTGCTTTTCCACCCAGTCAGTCACAGCGAGAAACGCAAGCCTGGGCTTGTCAGAGCTCACTTCTGCATAGTAAGCAGAAATCTAGATGTTTAAGTGATGAAATAACCCAATTTTCAAATATTGTCAAGTTTTTTTAAGCTTGTGTAATCCTAAAATACGTATTTATGAGTAGTCATTTGATGTTTCAATCTCTGTACAAATTCAGGTTTTGTGTGTGTTTTTAAATGGCATAAAGGCCAAGCTGAGCAGACCTGTGGGCGGCCAGTCCACACATCAGTTTCTAGTCAGAAATGAGCATATGAGGCAGACTGTATCCTCCCCTACTCCAGGTTCAGAACCGAAGCTGAGGAAAAGAAGGAAGAGACTCTCTCCCTAACAGATTTGGTGTCCCTGTCTTTTGTTCAGATCAGAACCTTTTTTTGGTGGTGGCAGTGGGTGCTAGGGATGGACCAGGTGCTAGGCTTTCTGGGCGGCTCTGTCCTGAGCTGCAGCCTCTTTAAGTCCTTTGAGTGTGTGTTTTTTTTTTTTTTTTTTTGAGACAGGGTTTCTCTTCTGTAGCTTTTGGTGCCGGTCCTGGAACTAGCTCTTGTAGACCAGGCTGGCCTCGAACTCACAGAGATCCTCCTGCCTCTGCCTCCCAAGTGCTGGGATTAAAGGCGTGCGCCACCACCGCCCGGCTGAGTGTGTTTTCTGAGACAGGACTTTCCTGTGTATCCCAGGCTGGCCAGTAATCTACCTAGCAGGATTGTTGTCGCGCACCACCCCACTTGCCTCTCAAGCCTGTTTGTTTATTTATTTATTTATTTTTGGAGGCTGGCCTTATAGTGCAGGCTGTCCTCAAACTAAAACTTACTGTGTAGCCAAAAAAGACCTTGAACTTATTTTAAACTATTTTTTTATTATTATTTTATATATACAAGTAATTTGCCTGCATGTCTTTGCACCACATGTGTGTGCACCTGAAGAGGCCAGAAGAGGGTGCTTGATTACCTGGAACTGGAGTTACAGACAGTTGTAAACTTACTTGTGGGTACTAAGAATCGAACCCGGGTCCTCTGGAAGAGCCAGCAGTGCTGTTCACCATTGAGCCCTCTCTCCAGCCCCACCTCCGCGCAATCTCTTGATCCTCCCGTTTCCAATCCCACTTGCTGTCACTTTGCTTTACCACATATTTTAAAACCCAGGGCTTAAAAGTCCTCCGAGCTGGCTGACGAGGGGCTCAGTACTCATGTTCCGATCCTAGTAAGGAGGTGCTGGCCGGAGTTGGTTCACAGATGGTACTGGCTTGCAATGTCTTCACATGGGACAGGAACAGGGCCAGCTCCTGTAGGCTTTGTCCAAGGCCACTGTCCTGTCCTCCAGTCCCCGTAGCCACCTAAGGGCTTCCCCCTTCCTGATGTTGTCATGCTGCAGGCTAGTTTTCAGCGGGAATGGGGAGAGGAAGGCGGAGCTAGCATTCTGTTGTAATAGACAGCTCTTGGTGACCCAGTATCATTTTTGCCTGCTCGCCAGTCCCCCCTCCCCCCCAGGCAGTCCCATTGGATCCTGCTCTGCTAGACTAACCTTGCTCCTGTCCTGTCCTGCATTCTGGTTTCCCTAGGTGACTGGGTAGCGTTGTGTCTTTGCAGGAAGAAAAGGAGAAGGTGCAAGCCCAGAAGGAGAAGGTTTTGAGCCACGTGAATGACGTGCTGGAGAACGAGCTTCAGTGCATCATCTGCTCTGAGTACTTCATTGAGGTGAGTGTGAGCAGTGTTCTTCGTCGTCGTCCCGGTCCCCCCCCCACCCCGGCCCCCGCCCACCCCGCGCAGGGTGCACCAGCCTTTGCCCCTCCTCCTCCGTCCCTGCCCCACCCTGCCCGCCCGCCCCTCGCAGTGCATCAGCCTTCCAGGCTGCTTCTGCTGTGGGGGGGGACAGGAGGGGGGACGGGGGGGGGGGGGCGAGGACGGACAGGGACGGGACACCTCTCAGAGAGAACTTAGTTCAGAAACCTGGAGCTGTTTGATTTCCCGGTGATGTCTGAAGGTAGCCACTTGTCATTACATCATGCAGTCTTCACCATGCTTTTGTTCCTCTTGGATCACCATTTTAATTGCAATGCAAGCCTGTCAGGGCCACACAGTATTGGAGTAAAGCTGCTCACTGATGCTGTCCTTTCTTAACTCTGGACGGGCGCGGTGCTGTGTGGGCTTGTAGCGTGCCTTTTTGATGAGGAAGTGGATGCCATTATATGTGGTTGCTATGGATATTCAGGGGCCAGAGTGAGCATGTTTCAGGGTTTTGAGGGTCCTTTTGAAAGTGGAACCCTCCCCCTCCAAGTTGCCACTTGCTGCTTTGTCACCAGCTCTTAGTTTTCATTCATTTCTAGCATTTGGGTTTTTTTTAACTACTTTTTAAATTTGATCTTTATTAGGCTAGGTGGTGTGGTGCACGCTTTAATCATTAGAGTCAGAGGCAGGCGGATCTCAGTGAGTTCGAGGCCCCAGCCTGGTCTACAAAGCAAGTTCCAGAACAGCTAGAGCTGTTACACAGAGAAACTCTGTCTTGAAAAACCAAAAATTAAAAGTTTAATCTTTATTATTATTTTATATGCATTGGTGTTTTTGCCTGCATGTATGTCGATATGAGGCTGTCAGAGCCTCTGGAACTGGAGTTACAGGCAGTTGTGAGCTGCTGTGTGGGTGCTGGGAAGTGAACTTAGGACCTCAAGGAGAGCATCCAGTGCTATTGACTTCTGAGCCACCTCTCCAGCCCCAGTTTCTAGCATTTGTAACCAGTTCATTTTATCCTAAAAGTGTTAAGGCGATGCTGTCAAACAGCAGGCTTTTAGACTTTGGAAAGGAAAGTACGTGTCCAGAGGGATTCCTGTTTGAGGCAAGCTCCAGGAGGTTGCGTGTGTTAGCCTTCTGAGGAATGTCTCAGGAGGATCAGTGTCTTGACTACAGGCCATTCATTGGTTTCTGCAGTTTCTAGTCTGATGGTTCCCTGCTGTGGAAATTCTCAGCATTGCTCAGGACTGTGGAAGCTAGCAGAAAATAGGACAGAGTAGAAATGGGTAGGGAGTGAACATCTTTTTGTTTTTTGAGACAGAGTTTCTCTGTGTAACAGTCCTGGCTGGCCTGGAACTTGCTCTGTAGACCAGGCTGGCATTGAACTCGTAGAGATCCGCCTGCCTCTGCCTCCCAAGTGCTGGGATTAAAGGCCTGCGCCACCACCACCCGGCACCCCAGAGCATCTTTGTAAGGTAGGACTGGTGGACTTTCTTTTTGGAGATTTGTTCCTGGTCCAGCTGTGAGAAAGTAAGAGTGGCAAGTGTTATTCGTGTGTTCCCTTTCACGTTGTAGGCTGTCACCCTGAACTGCGCCCACAGTTTCTGCTCCTTCTGTATCAGTGAATGGATGAAGCGGAAAGCAGAGTGTCCCATTTGTCGAAAAGACATTGAGTCCCAAACCCACTCCCTGGTTCTGGACAATTGCATTAATAAGATGGTGGATAATCTGGGCTCAGAAGTGAAAGAGCGGCGAAGTCTCCTCCTCAGGGAACGGAAAGGTGAGTGAGTTTTGAGAACTGCTCCTCAACAGGGGACTTCATTACTTCTGAACTGCATCCAGTGTTTTAGGGGAGAACTTGGGGAATAGAAATGGAAGCGTTAAGGGAGTTCAGAGCACCACAGCGGGAAGGGCTCAGTTAGGAATCGCCGCTGGAGTTTGAGCATCCCAGAGTCCTGCGTCTACCTGGTCCCTGAAGGGCAATAAAGAAAGCTGTGACGGAAAACGTCAGATGGTTTGCCATGCGGACACCAGATGGTGCTGTTGCTGAAGACAGCTTGGTTCTGCCACTTGAGTTGACACGTTATAAATAAGATGTGTGTAAGTCTGATTCAGGACTCGGAGAGTACCTGGGGAAGCATACACAAGCCCTGCTTGTAAGAGCCGTGGCGTATGGCTGGGGCAGCTCAGCCGTCCTTTCCTGGTGTGTGCAAGTCCCTGTTCTCCTGTTCTATTCTGTCTCCTAGTCAGAGGACTTTGGATTGGGGAAGGGATGTTCATTTACATCACTGGTTCTCAGCCTTCTTGTTGCTGTGACCCTGTAATACAGTTCCTCCTGTTGTGGTGACCCCCCAATGATAAAATTATTCTCAGTGCTACTTCGTAACTGCAATTTTGCTGCTGTTATGAATCATAATGTAAATACCTGTATTTTCTAATAGTCTTTTGGGGTCGTGACCCACATGTTAAGAACCACTGATTTAAGTGGCCTTGTCAAACTTGGGGCTCATGTTAAAGCCTGCAGAGAGCCACTTCTCTTGGTGGTGGTGCTGCAGAAGACTCAGAACCAACAAGGAGGCTACTGGGTAGGGTGTATTGATTATTGAGTAGAGATCCATTTTGCAGAGTGAATATGCCTGTGATATTCCATCACTACCTTCTGGGAATTGAAAATTAACCAGGAGCTGTTGTCCATAACCACCACCTGGCCATAGTGCGTGTGACTTGGTTGTACTCCTAAGTCCAGAGATGCTGGACAGCCTAAAAGGGCAGACACTATTAACAAGAATTGGGTGTTCTGCTTATAGTTTAGTTCTCTCCTAGTCCTACTGTAGGTATCAACTATTTCAGGTAGGGCCAGGAATCTGTGGCTGATTCATAGGTGGCTGTGGTGTGAGACTGGGCAGGCAGTGTGGATGTTGAGCAGGAAGCATGGCCTAGCCAGTTGCTGTCCAGGAATGTTCTGAAGCTTGAAGGGAAGGGTTTCTTTGTTGCTTCCCTGATACCTGCTTGAATACTTGGTGCCCAATGTAGAGTCCCCACACATTTTACCTCTGTCCTTGACGCTGGCAGAACCCCATTGCTTTTCATTTCCCCTTGCTCCATAGGAGCGCTCCATGGGCGCTGGGGTGGAGAGCTGTAGCCATCTCCTGTCTGCTGGAGAGACGGAAAGGCGAGGGCGCTGGCGGCTTCACACAAAGAACTGCGTAGAGGATCCTGTAAGGGAAGTGATGTTTGGGCCAAGCTTCAGGGCTTCCTGGATGCTCTTTTTCCAACCAGAAGACATGGCCCACAACAGCAAGACTTGCGGGGTCTGCTGGTGGCGAAAAGCTTGTGGCACCTCGCTTCCCTGTCTGAGAGGAGCAATGGCCTGGAGCCAGATGATCAGGATCAGGACCTTTGAGCTGGCGTGTGTCCTCTGTCAGGGTGGGGACCCATGAGAGTTTAGTTGCCCAGTGCACACCCGCGTTCTTATCAGGCCACTCCCAGCTGATGTTAGAAGGGCCCAAGTCCCAAGTTCTCTTCTACTGTGAGGTGCTTGTGTAGAGTGAACACCCCAGTGTATCCGTGTAAATAAATGCAATGCAGATATTAAAGAATATTTACCACTTTAATGATAAACTTACAGAACCGAAGTTCCCGCGTGGCACAGGAGGTAGGAAGGAAAGGGGCGGAGCCGCCCGCGAGCCCATTTATCTGTAGGCATTCGCCCGAGGCAAACCCCGCCCCCTAAAGGGGCTGTATTAACCCTACATCTCCCCCTTTTGTCTAAATAAGACAGAACTAAACCAAATATAACTATAAACAATAATAACAAATGATAAATATAACAAACAATATTGAGAACAAAAGTTTTGCTAGGCATTTTATCTCAAGGAGTCTAAATAATGTAGAGAGTAACTACTATTAAATAATCTTCAACTCCATCAAAGATCTGAGAAGGGAATAAATATTACTTAACAAATGAGAAATACCCAAAATGTGCAACAAATGACAGAGACAACTGACTACCTGGGCAATCACCCAAAGTCTCGTTTGCAATGTTGAGTCAACCAACTTTGGCTAAGGCCTAACATAACTGACATACCATTATCAAATGCAAGGAACTTTCTTAGAATTATCCTACCCTGTCTTGGCAAGATAAGACAATCCTGTTTCATATCTTAGTCAGTAGTTGAGGTATGGGCTTTTCTTAACCCAAAGGCCAGTTCTGCCAAGAAGATAAGCTCCCAGTGGAGTGTCTTTGGTGCTCAACATTCTCTCGGGAGTAGAGTGATGTTGCCAGGAGTAATTGTGTCTCGTTGGCACAGAATTCTAGGTTAGATTAAAGGCCATTTTCTACAGCTCTTCAAAGAGGCTGAAGATTATACTATCTATACTAAAAATAATCTCTATGTATCTAAAAGACCTGATTAACCTAAAAATAAATATGACAAACATATATTTCTCAATACCTATCTAATTTGAAAACTAAGAGAATAAACAACTGTGCAATATATGAAGACAATGATCTTCACCTGTAAACAATGTCATTACATATCAAAATGTAAACAATGTTATTACATAAATAGTACCAGAGGTAGAAATGTACATTGTGATATGATAGATGTATCCATACAATATAAGCATACTCTTATACAAAAATAGAGGTAGGAACACTCATATTTAATATTCAATATATCAATATACAAGAAACAGTACCAATATAATTTTCTAAAAAATAGTAAGTCACAAATACCAATCATCCCATCAAACCAGCTAATCCCCCCCTTTTTTTTTATATACCCCTAATTCCATACAATATCTCCCCATCCCCTCAACCCTAAACCAACCACTAAAAGATGTCCCTAACCCTGTGGGCAAACTCTGTTGGGAGAGGGGACGTCGTCCTCTTAGATTGCTTCTAGCTGACATGGGGGCGACGTTCTTCTTAGGGGCCCCTGTGAAAGCAAATGATGGTAAAATTCCCAAATTAACCTTTGACTTAAGAAAATTATAACTAGTCTCTGAGCGTTTTGAGAAGGTCCGGCCAGAGTGTTGTCAAAAATGTGCATCATTTGAAATTGTCTCTTGCAGTTGGTACCAAAAAACAGGTCTAATATTAGTGCTTAAAAAAAAAAAAATTCGGGGGCTGGAGAGATGGCTCAGAGGTTAAGAGCATTGCCTGCTCTTCCAAAGGTCCTGAGTTCAATTCCCAGCAACCACATGGTGGCTCACAACCATCTGTAATGGGGTCTGGTGCCCTCTGCTGGCCTGAAGGCATACACATAGACAGAATATTGTATACATAATAAATAAAAAAATATTTAAAAAAAATTCATGACGTCATAAAAGCCAGACTGAGTTGATGTTGTGGGGCCCCATCTTCATCCTGGAAACTTCAAATATTACTGTAGGAAAATATGTTGCTTGTTATGGGAAATTTAAACATTAACAACAAGGACATATACTGACATATAAAGAAAGACACAGATATGAGGAAAGGCAAAGAAAGTTTATCAAATATAAAATTATTCTTATTCTGTCCCATTTCATGGCTCCTGACCTGAGACAGAAACTCTGAAATATCTCTTATCAACAGGCTTGGAATTGAAGAGGGACTGAGCCATAGTCCAACTCCAAAACCAGCTCTACACATTATATTATAAAGAAGTGTTCAATAAAACATATAAATATATATAAAAAATCAATACTTACAATATGTATAGAATTTTATTATTGATGTTTAGTGGGTCGTAACTATTTTCCATCCATCAGTAATTAAATATTCAGGGTCCCTTAAATTCTTTGGAGATGAATATTTTCCTGTGGAGATAAGAAAAGAACCCTGCCCCCAACCTATCTGTAATCCTTACCATCTGAATGCCGGTCATCCTTGTGAATGAATTGTTATTTATCTTTTCCAAGTGACTTCTCTTCTTCAAACCGAACCTTTATTAATTTTGACAGTATCCATAATTTTTCCTCACCTGTGGAGATAAGAGCAAAACCCCTTCCCCAGCGCAGCACATCTCCTGGCTTCCATTGTGAGGTCAGCACCTGTAGGATTGTGTGGTATACCTGTAACATGCTTGATATTGTAATAATCAAAAAACTGTTTCATTTTCCTAGAGACATAAGCAGGACCATTATCTGTCTTTATTTGTGTAGGTATACCCATGATAGCCATGACTTCTAATAAATGAGTGATTACTGAATCAGCTTTTTCTGAACTTAAAGCAGTTGCCCACTGAAAGCCTTAATAAGTGTCAATGGTGTGATGAACATACTTCAATTTGCCAAATTCTGCAAAGTGGAACACATCCATCTGCCAGATTTCATTCCTATGGGTGCCCTTTGGATTAGCCCCTGCAGGCAGTGGCGTTTGGTTATAGAAAGAGCAGGTAGGGCATTTCTTCACAATCTCCTTAGCTTGTTGCCATGTAATAGAAAACTCTTTCTTCAAACCTTTGCTATTAACATGATGTTTTTTATGAAATTCAGAGGCTTGTAGCACACTACTAATCAATAATTGATCAATTTCTGCATTACCTTGTGCTAGAGGACCTGGCAGACCTGTATGGGATCGGATGTGTGTTATGTACATAGGGCAAAGCCTGTTCCTGATCAAATCTTGAACCTGGATAAACAATGAAGTTAGTTCTATATCATCAGGTATAAATTCAGCAGTTTCAATATGTAAAATAACTCTTTCTGTGTATTGTGAATCAGTAACTATATTAATAGGTTCTTTAAAATCTCTTAGTACCATAAGAATGGCATATAATTCTGCCTTCTGGA